CAAAGAACAAATACAACCATTTAGTTTGGAAGGGACCTAAGGAGGTCTGGCCCACCCACTCCCCATAACATGGCAAATGTCAAAGTCAAGTTATATTTGTTGTTCAGGGCCGTGGCTGCTGTATTTCAAGAAATAGCTCTCAAAAATCAAAATGTAAACGTGAAAATGAAATCAATATTAGTATGCCATTCCAGTCCACAAATTTGCAAAAGCACTCCAATAATTAAGGCCCCTCAGATCATCTTGATCTTTTACGTCATCATAAATAGTCTCTTCGTTTGCAGCAGAACCAAATGAGAAACAGGTTTTCATTCGTGTAGTTTCCTGACATGCGTGGTCATACGCAACTCTTAGGGGAAGGCATTGACACTTTGAGCACAGGTGGTCTGTCAGCCCTTCATTTCTTCAAGATTTTCTCTCTTCCACCTATTTTTCCTATCTGATCACCAGATGACCTAAAAAAATTTGCCACCTGCTTTAAAAGCAGCAAGCTGGAAACTCCTTTTGTAAGGGGTTTTTCTAAGAAAGAAAACAAAGTTTAGCCTTGTTGCGTTTTTATAGCATCTTCGTGTAACTAATGTGGTAAACCTCACCTACACTCAAGTCTCTGAGTTTCTTAATCTACTTATGTCCCTTCATTCCTCTAAACAGACCTTTCTGTAAGCCAAAACCTTATTTACAAATCTAATTTGGTTACCGTATTTATTGACTTTATTCATTCCACTCCATTGTTTCTCTGTAAGTATCCAAAGAAGATTCACTAATGAAATACTGTAGGAATCTAATATTCTCTTGTCTGCTGTGACAGATTTTGCTATATTTTGTCACAAAATAGTTCCTCCTTTGATAAGCTGACTATAACTAAACAATTTATCCCTAAGCAACTATAGGATAACTAATCTGAGATAAAGACTACCTCTGTTTCCTACTGCTCTACAGAATCAATCTGGGCTCAATATATAACGCTGAAAAAATATATCCCCTTGTTAAGAATAAAAATGTCCTCTTGTTAGCATCAATGAGTGAGCTAACCATCATGACCATATGAAACTTAATCAATAAGGAGATGGACCTGGGATTCTTGCTAATCCCTGTCATGGATATTCTGAATAAATTGATGCCGTTTAATGAAAATGACTTGACATTTCCTGAGCTGCTCAGAACCTTTGTAGGAACTGGAGGGTTTTTTTTTTTTTTTGGATACCATATGCTACCTGTATAAGACTTTTCCATAACAAAAAAATCTTTCTGAAGTGCAACTGTGTTTCTTCTGAGTGCATATTCAGCACCTTAGACAGTAGAAATATAGTGCTCCAGCACCACATTGCAATATGAGCCATCAGCCAGAGAATAAAGGTGAATTTACTGACATTTTTAAACAATCTTTTGATGAATTTGACTAAAGGCACAAAACAAAAAGCCCTGGAAGGATGGAAAGAAGGCTGCAATTACTGAAAGGATGTAACCCAATGGTTAGGCAGACCATGACATTACAGAGCAACATATTGCATCTATCATTAAAAACAAAGCTCCACTGTATTTTAGAAATGGAGGGTTTATAAAAAGGATGAAAGCTTTATTCCTGTTGGTGATCTCTGTGTGATGCTGTAGGGAGTGGGGAGAAAGCAGGAAGATAAGACAGCCAAAGAAATGGATTGCTGTGGAGATGCTAAAGAGTTATTGCACTATTTATTGGAAAAGAACTACTTAGAGCTGCATGAGGATAATTTGTCCAATTCATTTTCTGTTATGCTCTGGCTGTGTTATCTACTTCCTATTTTTCTTGGGTAAAATGACTCCTGTTGTGTATTGGGGCTCTGGCTCCATATGTACCCATATTCCACCACCTCTACCTGGCCTGACTCCAGACCCACCACAGAAATATAGGCAGAGGCGCAATCCAGTTTTGTTTTCTCTGCCTGTCATTAAGGCTTAAAGAGTGACTATTGTTTGCTACCCTCAGTTGTGATTTCTCCTTGTTTCCTCCTGCCCTGTTCTTTCCATCTGTATTGGATCTTGGCTTGCTCTTAGAGTATAAGCTTTTGGAGGCAGAGGTTCAGCTGCCCTTCAGCTGCAGGAAGAAATTCCTGTGCTGACAGATCCTAGCGTATGAATGAGGCAGGAGTGCTAAGTACTATTATAATATAATCTGCTACTAATACATTATCACAATGAGGAGAAACAAAAGCAAAGCACAAAACAAAACCACCACCACCAACAGTAAAATGGGGAAGGACCACATCCTGACTACAGGACCCAGTTTGGCGTACATGAAAGCCTGCACTGCACTAAGAATAGCAGGACCCTCATCTCACCCTTTCTTATCCCCACTGTTGCCCTCCCCTCTTTTATGTCATGACTGAGCCGTTTCTGCAGCCATGAAGTGAATTAGGTTTAGTAAGAAGCTCTGCAGAAAATAACTTTTACTTTCTAGCATGGCATTTTTCAGACAGATAAGTCCTTAAGTCTGGTTTCCCACATAGTCCTATAACTACCTATTCTGGCCCGAGACAGTGGTGACTTGAGGATAGAAATGAGTGACTGAAAGGAAGAGAATTGTTTCCTTTGGTGACAGCACTAGTTTAAAACAGTACTCGACTACAACAACAGAGGCCAAAACTTAGACTAATGACCAAGACCAAGTGTTGTGTAGCTTTATTTAGACATCTAGG